ATGTTCACACCTGCAGTCAGCGTTTAAATATCACCCCTGATGCAGGATGTCAAACAAAATACATCAAAAAAATTTTTGGTTAATTTCTTTTTTGCCGACACCTAAACATCCTTTGTGAACTTATGGCTTTTTAATGGTGCCTGTAAAGAGAAGTGTTGTAATCCAGCTTAATAAACACAAGTTTATGCGTCACAAAGTTATGAAAATGAGTGAAAAAGTAAGCAATAGAGGTGTAGTAATAATTTAAGGCTGGATTTCCTACGTACAGAAAATGTGCTTTAAAAACTACAGCACTTAAAGCGAGACGAAGCAACCGACCATACGTCTTTACGCGCATGCAAAGGATGAAGTGAAAGAGAATAAGGACGTCACTCCACAAAACAAATCATCACATTGGCTAAAAACATTATAAATTACTACGTTTTCACACTAAATGAACAGTTTCTCAAGTGCTACAGATATTAAATGCCCCGTTTAGGTAGAGAGTAGTAAACATAGAAATGCTGTTCAGAAACTTGGCAAACCATTCTAACAGGAGGAGTTGATCCCAGTTAGTAAGAGATTTAAAAGAGTACTGCATAGCTATAACTCAGAGGAATATTATGAAAAGCCTGAGGTCTGGAGAGAATATATTTCTAAGCAAGTTTTGAGATATTAAAGAGCCTCTGGCGTATAAACCCTGAACCCTATAAATAGACTTTCAGCAAAAAGGGACGTTAAAGGCTTCATAAAACATTCATGCACATATATATTGCAAATATATAGATATATATATTTATATAAATGACTATATGAAATTGTTTCGTCAGGTACATGAGCTGTATTAAACCAGTGACGGTAGATTTTCCTCTTTTTTTAAATTTTATTTCAGGAACGTATCAAAATGCATTCCTACGTCTTGCTGTTGCTTCGCTCTGCAGCCCTAGTTCATGGTTATGATTTCGTATTTGTCCTGGACGTTGTTCTCCTCCTGTTTTTCAGGCTCGGGATGGTGCAGCTCAATGAAGAGAAAGTAAACGGCGGCTCCGACCGCTCCACCCACCATGGGCCCCGCCACGGGAATCCACCACCAGCAGCTTCCAGCTCTGCAGGTAAAACAGACAATTATGACAACATATGGTTTAATATAACGTAGCAGCAATAGTGCCGTTTACACATGATCCTGCTCAATTAAACCTTTAAAATGTTACGTTTAGCCTCAATGGAGTTCAACCACTGCAGTGCAATAATGTCAATAATATCCTTTTTTCTTTTTTTTTTAAAAGAATATTTTTTTTAACATTTTCCATAAACACACAAAGTAGACACAAAAACAAACTATCAGTGGCCACAGAAATCACAAATGTAGAAATTCTCAGTCTGTTACAACTGACAGTGAAGCAACAACTCATGATTTCAAGAGAAATAAGGATACAGATGTTCTTAAATCTTAAAAAAGATTTGAAATCTTAACTACATTTTGCCAGACAAAGTATGAGCAATAAATAAATAACAACTGATCACCAAGTAAATGGAGATCCAGCATCATGGCCCAAAGATATCATTTTGCCAGTTGTCAGTGCTGCAGTCAACCATTCCCTTTAAAACAATGTTTGTGAGTCTTTTACCAGCTTATTTAAAGAAGGGTGTCCAGGTCTTGAATAAAACTGGTGTTTTACATTTGGATCTGCATGTTAGATATTCCACTGGTATTAACTCAAATATATATTTATGCCGTCCTAGAATTGTAGGAGGTGTATCATCAATCCATTTAAGGGCAGCAAATGTAAGAACATTAAACAGCCTTCTTTGATCAGAGCCTTTGATATGAGGGCTGGGAAAGCCAAAGAGCAGAGCCTGAGCATCAGGGTGAAGATGGACATCAAAAATCAAATTAAGTTTATCAGTAATTTTACTCCTCAGTATGAACACATGGACCAGACACAGTGGCTGTAACTCCCCACCTCCACTCTGAGCACATTTCTGTCAAACTGGGATTCATCCTATGTCTCAGCTGGGGGGTGATCTGTAAGCGATGCCGTATCCTAAACTGGGTCTCTCTGGTTCTATTATATATAGAAATCTCTTTTTCTAGTTGCCAAATTTCTGCCCGTGCTGTTTCATCCATTCTGAGATTAAGATTGTTATTCCACACCTGCCGCAGATAGTCTGTGTTAGTATTATTAGCAAGTTCAGCATATCACTGGCCAAGGATTGATTTTCGGCCTCTGTTGAGAAGCAGGCGCTCTATTTTCAAGGTCTGATGGTCAAAGACGTGGTTGTTTTGATCCTGAATGAAGCGACGAACTTGGAAAAATCTGAAGCAGTTATGTGGTGGTAGGTTCAATTTCTGTAAATGAGAGCATCACTCCTTTATGAAATAAAGTCCCTCGAGTTAAGACCCCTTTACCTCTCCAAATGTTAAATCCACCATCTGTGCTGGCTGGGACAGAATCAATGTTATGGTGTATTGGAGCTGGAGAAGACAACGTATTTGCACGGCCCTCTTACTGCTTGCCATGCCTGCAGAGTTGTTTTCATTATAATATTATTAGCTGAGACACTCTTAATTTTTTTCAAGTCTAGGGCAAATAGCAGACTTGGCAGAGGGCTACCTGCGTTAAATGTTTCTAGATCTAACCAAACTGATTCTGGGTCGCCATTAATCCAATCAGCTGTGTAGAGAAGCTGTGCAGCGAGCTGTTGAAGTCCAACATTAGGGACAGCCAAGCCGCCTTTTTCCACAGACATCTGTAGCTTAGCCATCTTTAATCACGGCTTCTTTTTGTTCCAAATAAATGAACTTAAAACAGCTGTTTGCCCTCTTAATAGTTTTATTATCAAGTAAAATTGGGACCATTTAAAGATAATAAAGGAGTCTCGGCAAGATATTCATTTTGAGTAAGGAAATCCTCCCCAACAGAGACAGCGGTAGAGATGTTCAGATCATTCCTAATACGTTTTAGAAGGGGTTCAAAGTTGGCCTTGTGTAGTGCTTCTAGTGACGGAGTGATTGCAATCCCCAGGTAAGTGAAACCTTCAGGCGACCATTTAAATGGAGATGGAGTGGGGCATCGAGGGTTACCTAGTTTGATATCAGGAATGCTCATAACTAAATTAAATAGACTTCAGCGTACTTCGAGTTGTTGCTGATACTCACTATTATACTAATGAGTTAAACAGACTGAGCACTTTGGAAACCTGCGACAAAACAGTGGCCAAACTTAAAAGAAAACTATGTACAAACACCAACACGAGGTCCTTCAGTGTCCCGACCTGGACCTTTAAACTTAAGAGCAAACAGAGGGTAAGTTCGAACCCTCCTTTAGGATGACCCTTGACCCTAAATACGAGCGTACTCCTAATCGAGCTGGCACAGTGGATTAAAATTGAAGTGACTGAAAATATATGAACCCCCCCACCACCACCACAAATGAAAAATAAAGATGAGATAAAGTAAACCCACTCCTCAAAATGCGGGGGGAAAAGCGGAGGGTGGGGGGACATATTTGGTAGATTATAGCACCTGATGGCGTAGGAAGGTAAACTCAAACACAAGTACAAAAGTCCCTGTGTTACTAGTCGTGAGAAACAGGATGGCTGTTTTGCCAAGTTGGCAGTAAGCAAACATCATATGAATAACCACTACTGGCATTTCTCTAATAACTGCAGCTTAGTAGACAAATATTACTGGTGTGTCCATATGATGCTTTAAAGGTTAAATCAAGTTCACTCAGAAGACCATAAGCAGGATGTGCTTTGAGGTGGGGCAGTCCCCATGTTAGTTAACACCACATCTGAGCAATGGTGAGAATTTGTCCACCAGAGAGAGTAAACAAACGCAGAGGCTCGCTCTGGAGAAGGAAACGTTTCAACAGTGTTGTTCACCACAACCTTCGATGAAGCAGGGTGGATCATGGCGTAGCGAGCCCCCTCGATGTTCTGCAGCTTCCTCCTCACCTGGTCAAACTCGCATCGCTTCTTCTGTGTTGCAGCAGCAAAGTCCGGGAAAAAGTGAATCCTTGTTCCTTCAACTCGGATGTCTTTCAGTCGTCTGGCTGCGTCCATCACTCGCTGAAGTTGTGAAATCTTGATGGCGGGGGGAAACCTGGACGTCTCCGGACCCCAAAGCCTGTGTGCCCTCTCCAACTTGATGCGTCCCGATTTGGTGTCGAGCTGCAGGATCTCGGGTATCCACGTCTCCATAAACGTTGTTGTATTGGTCCCCTCCAGCTTCTCCGGCAGGCCTATGATCTGTAGGTTTTTGCGTCGGCTCCTGTTTTCGTAGTCGTGGAGACGCTCCGTCAACTCAGTAACCGTCTTTTCCAGAGCTAGCATGTGTTCTCCAGTATCAACCGAAGCGTTTTCCACCACGAGGATCCTCTGCTCAGCCTCGCCGACCCGTTCAGGAACTTCTTTCAAACTCTGAGAGATGTTGGCTTTGATGTCGAGTGCCATCTTATCCAGCTTTCCGTCCATCATCTGAGCAATATTCGCCGTCATAGCCTCCAGAGCTCTGGTCAGTCCCGGGTCTGCTTCCCGGCTAATGGATGGGGGGCTAGCGCCACCTGCTAGCTTAGCATCGCCATCACGAGGAGAAGCCGCCTGTGCATCTTTCTTTTTTGTAACGTTCTTTGGGGGCATTTTGCCGGCGGTCTTGCTCCACAATTGATCCAGGGACATCACCCGGTTTAAAATACGCTCAGTTTGAGTTTATACGCCAACAGAAATAATGAAAACAGGATAATGTGCCGGAGCTCTGACAAAACGTGGCGACCTGAGCGCTTGCATCACCGGAAGTCAATAATATCCACTTTTTAAAGAATTACTCCACAATCAGGTTGTCTCTCAGCTTAATTTGTAATTGTTCCTGTTTAGTTTCTGGCTTAAGATTTTAAGTTTTGAACAAAAATGAAAAGCAACCTTCTTATCTTAATTTTCCATGTCTTATGCTTGTAATTGGACCGCACCATTAGCATGTGACACTAAAGCCACAGACTCGGCCGCACAACCACATTATGTATGAAATAACTGACCAGCCGATCATTTGAAGACAATATATTGTGTAAACTATTATTATAAGAACGCTGTTGTTACTTTTTCTACTTTACTTCCATTTTTCATTGGTTGTCAAAGCGCTAGACCATGTTTCCCATCCTCACACCAATAGCTGCCACACATGCTCGCCACTGGCAGCAACTTGTGGTTCAGTGTCTTGCCCAAGGACACTTTGGCACGTCGAGGGGCCGGGGATCAAATCCCCACACAACCTGCTCTGTCACCTGGTAGGTAGTGGAGTTACAACGACTATACTTTGAAAATTTGTATCATTGGATCAGCTGTGGCGTAGTTGTGGGTAAGGAGGCTACTTTAATCTGAACAACAACAACAACAACAACAAACACTAGCCGGTGACTCCAGTCTGAGTAACGGTCACATTTATCTCCAAATCCTCCCAAAATGGGGCCGTCAGTAAAATATTGTCAGATGTGCAGCATAGGCTACATAACGTGACTGAGCTCATGTTACATTGGTGAATGGTGTGCACTTATATAGATGTGTTTCTCATTCACCCATTCATGCACACATTCATACACCAATGGGAAAGAGCTGCCACTGGGAGCAACTTCAGGTTCAGTGTGTTGCTCAAGGACACTTCGACTGTGAACGATCGAACCACCAACCTTGCAATTGGAGGACAACCACCTCTACCATCTGAGCCACAGCCGCCTTAATCTAATTCTGGAGCAACGACACAAAAGCATCAGATAGAAATAGACGATAATCAATGTGTGAAGAAATTTAAAAAATGACTAAGAAAAGTTTTAAACCCATTTTTGTAAATTCATTTTGATGGTGTGAACTGACTGCAGTCATTCGTATCAGTGTTTTAAAATGCGATTTATTAACATACACAGACTATACACAAGCAATATGAGATTCTATCTTTTGGATGGATTTAAAGGAATAGTTTGACCTTTTTTTCCACAACCAGCTCAGCTGATTATCCTCGCTAAGCACAAAGAATGAGAGGAGAGAGGAAACTGTTGGCCCGGCTCTGCTCAAAGGTAATTAAATCTGCCCATCTGCACCTCCTAAGCCCGCGAGTTAACAAAAATCTAATAAAGTCACAATGATGACAGGTCTGCCGAGACCCGCTGCTCATCGTGCAGAGATGAGGAGGATGGAGCTTTCAGAAAAGCTTTCCGATCAGAACTAGAACTTTGATCCGAATGCTACTTACAAGTCATAAACTTGTCGTTATGGAGAGTCTGACGTGACACGAATGGATGGTCATAAAGGACGCTCAATATTTAGCTGCATTACAGGAAACTGAGTGTTCAGCTTGACCTTTATCAGACAGTAGAAGTCAGGATACTTTGGTCTCTGCTGCTTCACTTTGGAATTTAAAAAATAAAAAATGGCCACATGCAATTGCTGCTGTCCAACCGAACCAGCATCCACTGCCTCTCCGGTGTGTGTATGTTTATCTCCGTATCACCCTACCTGAGACAAGTTATACACAGTTATCCCAGATTACAGGAAAGTCTTAAGGAGCTCTGTTTGTCAGACGTGCTGCATGTGACCTCGTTCTCCCTCTGGCTCCCCTCAGACGGACTCTTTCACTCAGCCGGAGGGAGATTAGCGTCCTGCCGGTTAATGTGGCTATCGGGAGCCTTTAATGCAGGTGAAAGGGCTTCAGTTAACAGCGCTGTTGCACCAGCCTGAAGGTAAACAAGCGGCCGAACGGGTCATCTTGATTTCCTGTGAGCGGTCAGGAAGTAGACCAGAGGAGGGAGGTGGCTGGATTATAGACTTTAATCTATGGCCACGGCTAAGATGATCAGGCCAGGAGACAGACGCCCAGCGGGTCACATTGACGCCGCTGAAAAGAAATGTAATGTACAGAAAGCCTCAGCCTGCCCGGAGCGTCTTTTTTTTTTACTCTGCATGTGTAGCATCTGTGTTTATGTAATAAATGCAAAAGCTTATGTCAGATTGAGCGCATACTTGATGACACGAGCTTATATGTGCATTAGAGCAATCTTCCTACATATTTGTAAAGAGCCATCTGGCGACAGTTACAGCGACAGAAAGCATCAGAAACTGTAGTTAAAGCCGTTATTTTCATGTTAAAGTAAGATTTCTGCTTTGAAAACCCCTCCGTTTTGAGTCAAGTCAGTGCTTAGACGGCCTATTTAAGGGCTTCATTATTATCCAAGCAGTGTTTCTTTGGGGTTTTTTTTTTGGCGAGCGAATCAGCTACCCTCATTGCATTTAAACAGCGACATGCACAGACACTTTCAGGGCAGGGGTTAGAAAGACTGGGACAAGGCAGGGCTGGTGTTGACAGGACACTGAGGGCAAAGGAGCGAACAGACGGAGACAGTCAACACGAGCAGAGCTTTGACTTGTTAGCCAAAGGCGGAAACTCTACCCTTTTATTTTGAGTATTGCCACTGCAGAAAGTCAGTCATGTCTGCAGATACATGGTTGGATCAGATGGAAGTACAGGTTGTAGCAAGAAAGCCTCAGAGAACTGGTGGTACGTCTGTTTTTTGGGCGCGACGAAAGACGTTCTTGTAAACCGGGACAACAGATTTTATCAGAGCGGAAGAAACTGAACATGACCTGAAAGGATCTGGACGGCAACAGGAGTTCATTGGTTAGTTAGAAAGCTCCTCGGTGGAAATGAGCCAGGGGTTGATGAGATCAGCTCCTGCTAGAAGATTTGAATATTTTAGGATACGACCGTCGCCGTGCCTTTTCAATATTGCAGAGATTTTGGGGGAAAGAATTTTCTGAACTGGCGCGAGAGTCGATGTAATTTTTCCTCAGAGCTTGAAACAGTTTGACCAGAGAGACGAGTTCCAGCTTTCCAGTCATCACATTTCTTTGTCTAAGTAGGAATTAAAGTGAAAAGTGTCCACTCAGTGGTACTCCTTACTTCAGGTCTCAGAGCAGCAGTGCCATATTTTAGCTGTACAGATAATACAAGACTTGTAAAACTTTGCCTGCACAGCCTTTATGTGTTTTTATGATTTGGAAATGCCTCCTGGTATTACATAGGAGTGTGGTATACACAGTCTGCAGTTATGGACCATTTAGTTTATATATATGTATATATGCAGTATTACAGTTCTGTTTGTACTCTTGGCAAAGTCCAAAGTGAAGATGAGACAGCGATGCACCTTGTCCTCTCTGTTTGCAACATACAGACAGTATCTGAAATGTGTGTGTGTATTATATAACACAATCTACTCCACAATATTTGCTAGTACTGTGTGTGTGTCGGTTATAGCTGATGGGAGTATAATGTCATCTATCATGTTCAAGCATGTCCTGAACTTGTGCAGGGTAAAGACTCATGCAGCTAAGTCACAGGAAAACAGAGACATGTTTCATGGCTTCAGATATCAGGACATTCCTCTGTAAGAGTGGGCCAAAGTCTACATGAGACACCTGCTGGACCTTACTCCCATCTCTCAGGATAACTCCAGCAGCTGATGGAAGCTGTTGAAACTCAGGCCACAAAGTGTCAAACGTTAGCGGTCGAATCAGAGGAGTACGAGGTGACGTGTTGGCTCGGCAACGGATCCACTCACAGGTTAAAGAAAAACCATCAGCTGTGGACACGCTTCTGTTTTTCTTCTCCACAACTCAGTGTTTTTTTTTTTTTTTACATAAATGCAGCTGTTTTGTTGCTGATTTCCTGGATAGATGTTTGTAACAGTTCTTCACCAGCTGTGTTCAGCTTCTTGCTTTTTACAATCCACTGAACCACCCACTAACTAACTGTGCTGTTTTTTTAAACTACTGCCAGATGAACCATTCGCCTTCTCTGGCAGGCGTTTTACTCGACCTCCTGTCGGAAAAAGTCTTTAGGATTTACTGAAGGATTTACTTAGATGCTGCATTGTCAGATAGAGCTTTAGCTTGGCTTCCTTTGCTTGGTAGAAGACAGAGCACACATTGTCATCTCCCACAGCAGCTCTTAAATAATCAATATAACTGAAGGTATTACATATGATGCCTGTATGCTTGAATTTGTACAATTCTAATAATTAATAAGAATGTTTTAAATTAATTAGCGGACCCTTTGACAAGCGTCATTAACAGCTAAACCCCACTTTGAGACACATTATTTTGAAGGCTACAGCTAATGGATGAAAGGAGCTACGTTCATGTGACAGCTCATCCTTATTTGTACAGTCTGTGGTAACGACAAAATACTGCTCCAGAGTGGTACCAGCAGCCAAAACCTCAACAGAGAGCCTTTAACCGAGTACAGTCTGACTCACCAGATGCAGACTATGGGCATAACTGTGCCATTGTCTACGCAGTCACTGTTTTCAAACTCGACTGCACCACTGGAAGTAAAAACAACAACCTCCAGGCGACAACACTGACACAGCAGATTTTTTCAGTAAATCATCAATTTTCAATCAAAATGTTCACCTCTCTGCATGCAAATTCCACCAAAGCATGTCCCCTGTCACTATGCTGAGGGGACACCATCACTATATTCTGGGCTAAGCACCACCCAAGAAGATTGGGATTGGTTCAAAGACAAACAAGCCACACAGCAATAATAATAATGAAGTGCAATCAGACCATTCCTGCACGGCGCTTGGGAATGGTCTGACTAAACCAAGGATGACAAATTAATTTATACTACACTGTTTAGCTTAAGTTTTGTATTTAAACAATTTGCATGTGCTTTAGGACATTTTGATCAGAACACTGTTTTTGATCTTCAAAATCCGATTAAAGCTGGAGTAGGCAATATTTAAATTCTTACATTGTTGTCCAAATTCCATACTAACCTTTTGGCGTATTGTATCATGAGTGGTCTAATAGAAAACTAGATTTCAGCGCTTGTTCTTGGCTCCGTTTTCCGGCTTTGGGAAATGTAGCACGTGAGATTTTAGCCAACCGCAGGGCTTTTCTCCGATCACATGGGATGATATAAATGGAGCTGACTGACTGTAGGATGTGCATTCGGTTAGACTTTCACTTGGGATGCTGGGGTTTGAATCCCAGGTGAAGCCATGAATGGATGAGAGGAGGAGCTTAAAAGCTGCAGGAGAAGGGTTATGTTTTTTTCTATTATGCATATTTGCTTTTTCCAGATTCCTGCCTGCTGACCGGCTTTATAGTGCGATATCTTTTTCAGCAAAACCAAAATGAAAATTCAGAACATGAACAAAGGCAAAGAGGAACACACAAGTGCCATTTCAGTAACGAAGGGCTGAATATTTCATCTGCATCTGCTTGGAATATCTCCCGGTTCACTTAAATCCCAAAGCCCTTTTTCAAAATGCGGGAAATATGCACATGGTTACTGAAATATTAATTCAGATTGTGAGGCGAGCAGAGACGGCGTTAAAACGCTGCTCTGTCTGTGGCATGAGAAAGAGCAGCCGCTTGGTTGAACTGGGTTTCTTACATCACACGTCTCCAACACTGCAGAGTGTAAATGCTCCATTTCCCCCAAATCTTTCTGTAATAATCCCAACAAATATCAGAAGCTCTCAGTCCCTGCACTTCACACTTTTGCTTCTAGATCAGTGAAGTTACCTGAACACCTCCATGCCCCACCCAGCCACGGCGGTGAAGAAGCGCGGGCCGAGGTCTCGGGCCGGGTTGATTGGGTAACCGCAGTTCAGACCCATGGACACTCCGATGGCCATGATGATGAGGCCGATGCACAGAGGCTCCATGCCTTTTGGAGCGCCGATGTTCTTCCTGTCGGTGATGGCCAGGATGCACAGGATCAGTGCGCCGGTTGCAATTACCTTCAAAACAAAAGC